CTCAGAAACGGTTTAGGGTCAGTGCCCCGTTGTTTCTATATATACTCGCCGAGTCCCTCAGTCGAGGCGACTCCTTCTGGCTTTTTCTCGGAAACGACTAAGGGTCTGGGCCCTTGTTTCCTAACTCTTTCTCGCCGAGTCCCTCAGTCGAGGCGACTCTTTAGGCTTTTCCTTCCTCAGAAACGGTTTAGGGTCAGTGCCCCGTTGTTTCTATATATACTCGCCGAGTCCCTCAGTCAATGCGACTCCTTCTGGCTTTTTCTCGGAAACGACTAAGGGTCTGGGCCCTTGTTTCCTAACTCTTTCTCGCCGAGTCCCTCAGTCGAGGCGACTCTTTAGGCTTTTCCTTCCTCAGAAACGGTTTAGGGTCAGTGCCCCGTTGTTTCTATATATACTCGCCGAGTCCCTCAGTCGAGGCGACTCCTTCTGGCTTTTTCTCGGAAACGACTAAGGGTCTGGGCCCTTGTTTCCTGACTCTTTCTCGCCGAGTCCCTCAGTCGAGGTGACTCTTTAGGCTTTTCCTTCCTCAGAAACGGTTTAGGGTCAGTGCCCCGTTGTTTCTATATATACTCGCCGAGTCCCTCAGTCGAGGCGACTCCTTCTGGCTTTTTCTCGGAAACGACTAAGGGTCTGGGCCCTTGTTTCCTAACTCTTTCTCGCCGAGTCCCTCAGTCGAGGCGACTCTTTAGGCTTTTCCTTTCTCAGAAACGGTTTAGGGTCAGTGCCCCGTTGTTTCTATATATACTCGCCGAGTCCCTCAGTCGAGGCGACTCCTTCGGGCTTTTTCTCGGAAATGACTAAGGGTCTGGGCCCTTGTTTCCTAACTCTTTCTCGCCGAGTCCCTCAGTCGCGGCGACTCTTTAGGCTTTTCCTTTCTCAGAAACGGTTTAGGGTCAGTGCCCCGTTGTTTCTATATATACTCGCCGAGTCCCTCAGTCGAGGCGACTCCTTCTGGCTTTTTCTCGGAAACGACTAAGGGTTTGGGCCCTTGTTTCCTAACTCTTTCTCGCCGGGTCCCTCAGTCGAGGCGATTCTTTAGGCTTTTCCTTTCTCAGAAACGGTTTAGGGTCAGTGCCCCGTTGTTTCTATATATACTCGCCGAGTCCCTCAGTCGAGGCGACTCCTTCGGGCTTTTTCTCGGAAACGACTAAGGGTCTGGGCCCTTGTTTCCTAACTCTTTCTCGCCGAATCCCTCAGTCGAGGCGACTCTTTAGGCTTTTCCTTTCTCAGAAACGGTTTAGGGTCAGTGCCCCGTTGTTTCTATATATACTCGTCGAGTCCCTCAGTCGAGGCGACTCCTTCTGGCTTTTTCTCGGAAACGACTAAGGGTTTGGGCCCTTGTTTCCTAACTCTTTCTCGCCGAGTCCCTCAGTCGAGGCGACTCTTTAGGCTTTTCCTTTCTCAGAAACGGTTTAGGGTCAGTGCCCCGTTGTTTCTATATATACTCGCCGAGTCCCTCAGTCGAGGCGACTCCTTCTGGCTTTTTCTCGGAAACGACTAAGGGTCTGGGCCCTTGTTCCCTAACTCTTTCTCGCCGAGTCCCTCAGTCGAGGCGACTCTTTAGGCTTTTCCTTTCTCAGAAACGGTTTAGGGTCAGTGCCCCGTTGTTTTTATATATACTCGCCGAGTCCCTCAGTCGAGGCGACTCCTTCTGGCTTTTTCTCGGAAACGACTAAGGGTTTGGGCCCTTGTTTCCTAACTCTTTCTCGCCGAGTCCCTCAGTCGAGGCGACTCTTTAGGATTTTCCTTTCTCAGAAACGGTTTAGGGTCAGTGCTCCGTTGTTTCTATATATACTCGCCGAGTCCCTGGGACGATTAGCTGTAACCCATGTGCTTTATTTAGATTTTTGGAATCCTCGAGCCCGTACACGGCCTATCCTTTTCTACTGATAGAACCTTTTCAAATGAGTGACGTTCCATATGCGATCTATGGGCTTGCCTTCCATAGTCTCTAACTTGTAGGTTCCGGCTTGGACCACCGCTGCAATGCGGTATGGCCCCTCCCACTTAACCGCAAACTTGCCTCCTTCGGTGGGCTGACTGGCTTGTCGATCGCGTAACACGAGGTCGCCAACCTGGAAGGTTCACGGGCGAGTCCTACGGTCGCGATATCTTTTCACCGCCTGCTGGTACTCAACCATTCGTGCACTCGCGGCTTCCCTTCTTTCCTCTAGGAAATTTTTCTCGATCCGCAGATTCTCTTCGTTCGCTGCATCCGAGTAGGTGCAAACCCGGTGGGTGGGCTCGACCACTTCGACTGGAACCTTGGCCTCGAAGCCGTATGCGAGCGAGAACGGGCTCTCCCCCGTCGCTCGCCGCTGGGTAGTGCGATAAGCCCATAGGACTCGGTCAAGCTCGTCCGCCCAATTTCCTCGGATGTCTTCGAGCTTCTTCCAGATCCCATCGACCAACGTTCGATTCACATTCTCGACCTGCCCATTGGCTTGTGGGTACGCCACCGATACCTTGGTATGCTTGATATCGTGTCGGCGGCAGAAGTCAGCGAAGGCCTGGCAGTCAAACTGTCGCCCGTTGTCGCTGACGATATGCTCGGGCAGGCCGAAGCGACAGATCACCTTTTTCCACAGAAAACGTCGATATTGGTACTCGGTGATGGTAGCCAATGGTTCTGCCTCGACCCATTTGGTGAAGTAGTCGATAGCCACGACGCAAAACTTCAGACCTCCCGGGGCGACGGGCAATGGTCCCAACAAGTCTATTCCCCACTTGGCGAAGGGGATGGCAGTGGTGACCGGTGTATAAAAGGTGGCCGGCCGGGTGTCTTTCCTGGCGAATGCTTGGCAAACGCCGCACTTGGACATCCATTCGATACAGTCTCGCATCATGGTCGGCCAGTAATACCCTTGAACGACTAACTTCCGGGCGAGCGTGTGGGCGCCCTGGTGCGCGGCGCAAATGCCTCTATGATCTTCGTCCATTATTTTCTCGGCCTCAGGTCTAAGCAGGCACTTTAGCAAGGGTCCTCCGAACGACTGTTTATATAGCTGCCCGTCGATGATCTGGAAGGAAGGGGCTTTCCGCCGAACTCTAGCGGCGACTCCTTGGTCACTTGGTAACTCGCCCGTCTCCTTGAATCGCCGGATGTCTTCCATCCAAAACATCTCAGGGTTTTTCTCCCGATCCCATTCCTCGATATTTACTTGCTGGACTTCCAGTGGTGTCTCTTCAACACTCGGCCGATTTAACTCCTCCTTCTGGCAAATCTTTATCAGGTGGTCCGGTACCCCTTCCAGGGCAATTTTGGACAATATGTCGGCTTCCACGTTGTCCGCTCGGGATATGTACTCTATCTCGTAAGCCCCGAACTCTTTTAACATCTCAACTGCACGCTCTTTGTATAGTACCATCCTTGCATTCTTAGTTTCACACGTACCCGAGATCTGTCCGACTACCAGTCTGGAGTCAGTCTTGATTCGCAGCCGCTCGACTCCCAGGGCCTTGGCGAGTCGGAGGCCATTTAATACTGCTTCATACTCGGCCTCGTTATTTGATGTCGAGAACAAGTATCTCAGAGCGTAATATAGCCGGAATCCTTCCGGAGTGATGAGCATGACACCGCCTCCACAGTGCTGTCGACTCGATGCTCCATCCGCGTGCATTTCCCACCACTCGCCCGAGAAGCTCTCCGGGGCGTGTTCCTTTTCTTCCTCACTTGCTGTACATTCGACCAGGAAGTCGGCCAAGGCTTGACCTTTAATGGAAGGCCGGGGTTGGTACTCAATCCCATACTGAGTCAACCCTACGGCCCATTTTACAAGTCGGCCGGAGGACAAGGGGTTTCTTAGCACGCTCCCGAGCGGCTGGTCTGTCAGAACTCGGACGGTATGGGCTTGGAAATAAGGTGCCAGCTTGCGCACGGTGACTACCAATGCATACACAATCTTTTCCAGAGCGGTGTACCGCGTCTCAGCGGCCTTCAGCGAGCGACTTACGTAATAAACCGGGTGCTGGACTCGGTCCTCATCTCGGACCAATACCGAACTCACTACTTTGGCCGAGGCGGCGAGGTACAAGAATAAGGGCTCGCCCACCTGGGGGGTAGATAGCACTTGGGGCGTTGAAAGGTACTGTTTCAACTCCTCGAACGATTGTTGGCATTCGGCAGTCCAAGCGAATCCCTCCTTCTTCCTCATGGCTTCGAAGAAAGGCATGGTCTTATCCGCCGCTTTGCTCAGGAAGCGGCTAAGGGCGGCCAACCGACCAGTCAATCGTTGTAGGTCCTTGACGGTGGCAGGAGGCTGCATGTCGATGATGGCCTGTACTTTCTCCGGATTAGGCTCAATGCCTCGTTTGGTGACCATGTAGCCCAAGAATTTGCCACCTTGGACGGCGAACGCGCACTTTTTGGGGTTCAGCCGAAGGTTGTATTTTATCATTACCTTGAAGCAGTCGGCCAGGTCCTCCGCATGCTTGTCCTCCTCCCGGCTCTTGACGAGCATATCGTCGACGTACGCGGCCATCGATTTCCCAAGCAGATGTTGGAACAGCCGGGCGACCATTCGGGTGTACGTAGCCCCGGCATTTTTAAGTCCGAAGGGCATGACTCGGTAACAGTAAACTCCGTCCGGTGTCAGGAAGGCGGTCTTCTCCTCATCCGCCGGGTGCATAAATATTTGGTGGTACCCTCTGAAGGCGTCCATGAAACTCAGTAGTACCGACCCGGCCGTTTCGTCGACTAACTGGTCGATCCAAGGTAGGGGAAACGGGTCTTTCGGGCAAGCCTTATTAAGATCGGTGTAATCCACGCACATTCGCCACGCCGAGGGCTTGGGTACGAGGACCACATTTGCCAACCACTCCGGGTACTTAACCTCGCGGACGTGCCCGGCCGCTAGTAGCGTGCTAACTTCCTTCTTCACAAATTCCCTCTGGTCGTTGGCCAGGTATCGTTTCTTTTGTACGACCGGTCGGTGCTCCGGATCCATGGCGAGTCGGTGTGATATAACCGACCGATCGACGCCGGGCATATCCTCCGGGCCCTAGGCGAAAACCAATCGATGTTCCTGGAGCACTCTCACGATTTCCCCCCTTAGTTTCTCAGGAAGGCCGACCCCAATTCTCACCCGCCTACTAGGCTGTGCGGGGTCAATCTCGACTTCCTCTAGCACGACGGCCGGCTCAGGGCGAGGTATCACCGTTTTCTTAGGGGGCCTCTCGGTAATCTCGTGGACCTGCATTTCACGTTTGCCCATCCCTCTACATGCTTGTAAATAACAGTCGCGGGCGACCTTGCGATCGCAACGTACCGTTCCTATTCCGTTCGGCGTGCGAAACTTTAAGCACAGGTGTTCGATCGAGATTAGGGCTCCGAGGTCCTCCAAACCCGGACGGCCGAGTATGGCGTTATGTGAGCAGGCCAGATTTACCACGATAAACTTCATGCTTAACTTCTGTACATCCGGGTAACTGCCAATCTCCACGGGAAGGGTGATCGACCCTTCCGCCTCCACCGAGTCCCCGGTGAAGCCGGCGAGAGGGGTTTTGACAGGATTCAGCTGCTCTCGGGATAGCCCCATTTTGGTGAAGGTCTCCAGGTATAGCACGTTGACGCTACTCCCGGTGTCAACCAGGATTCGGCGAACGACTACACCATTGATGTCCATAGCGATGACCAACGCATCTCGATGCGGGGTCTCTCCGGCTGGCAGGTCCCTATCGGTGAACACGATGGGTTCTCGGCATACCTTTTTGGAGCTCTCTTCGCGGCCGTAAACCGTCCCGACATACAATTGCCGAGCCCAGGCTTTTCGGGTGTTTGCCGAGTCGCCGCCCTCTGGTCCGCCGACTATCATGTTGATAACCGGCTTCTGGCGCCATTGGGCTTCGTCCTCTTCGGAAGCCAGCTGCTTACCTCGGCTGTTCTCTGCGTCGGCGGCAAGTCCCTCATCTCCTCGACTGGCCGACCTTCGCCTCCATTGATTAGGGGGCGGGGTCCCTTGCTGGATAATCCCCTCCATGATCTTCTTTAGATAGAAGCATTCTTCCGTGCTGTGAGTATAAGATTTATGATAACGACAGTACTTAGAAGTCTTACCAGTCTCCCCACTTGTTACACGGTCGTCGATCGGTGGAGGCGGAGGTGGGGCGACTGCTTGTATCTCGTGGACCGGCCGCTCCGGAACCGGTCGATAGGCGTGAACGACGGGGCGGTCGTACGGTCGCCTAACCTCGGGTCGCCGGGCCACATCCGAACGCCTTTCCTTCGTCTCGGCCCGCGTCCTTTTCCCGCTGGCGGACCCGCCGACCTCGCGTTGTCGTTTATGCTTCATGGCCTGCTCCGTGTTGGCTCTCTTGTTGGCCATCTGGATAGCTTCCGCGTATGTTGCCGGGCGATTGTCCCTTAGGTCTCGGTACAGCTGGCCGGACCGCAAAGACTCGATGAAGAAAGTGAGTGTCGTTTGGTCCTCCACTTCCTCTATCGACTGGATCTCCTTTTACCAGCGGGCTAAATAGGTTTTTAAGGACTCGCCCTCGTCCTGGTGGATGTCGCCTAAGTGCGTCAGGTCCTTCTGTGGCTTGGTGTTGGCGGCGTAGTGGCTCATGAAGCGATCTGCCAGCTCCTCGAAACTGTGAATCGTACCTTGGGGTTGCGCCACGAGCCACCTTTGCGCGGGCCCCTTTAGCGTGGGTAAGAAGGCGCGGCACATGACCGGGTCCCGTACCCCTAAAACTTGCATCTTAGCTTGGTAGCTCAGTAGGTGTTCTCGCGGGTCGCCCGACCCGTCGAACGTGGCTTGCTCCGGGAACTTGAAGTCGCCTGGTATCCTGAAGGCCATGATCTCGGCCGAGAAGGGTAACGCGGTCAGCAGCGTTCGGCCAGGGGCCTTGGCTTTTCCTTCCACCTGTTCTTTTAGGTTTCGTACTTCCTGGGCTAAATTTGCCACCTCGACCCTCTCTTGGGTGCGGTTTCCTGTCGATTCCGTGCTCTCGCCGACCTCTGACTCGACAGGTCGATCATGGTCGTGGGCGGGCTGCTCTAAGCGGCGAGCCACTGTCCGGGCTTTCCTTGCACGGTTACGGTCACGCGCGCTCTGTCGACCGTGAGTTTCTAACGGGGCGCGAAGGGGTTCTCTTCGTCCCAGCCGTTCTCTCGCCGACCGTCGTTCAACACCCGGACCCAACCGAGAATGAACGGACTGGACCGGTTGACTCTTAGCCCGGCGGGTGGATTGTCGATTGTCTGGCCTTCGCGACGGTTGGGGGTCTCGTTGCGGTATCCGAGTAGTGGATTGCTCCCGTATTCCCCGGCTCGCCTCGGCCAAAGCGCGTCCAATCGCTTGTAGCTGATCCGGGGTGAGCTGCATCGCGGCTGGTTGTGGATTTCTCCGCGGAGTCGGCGGCGGTGTCGCGTCGTTTTCCCGGCTTCGGGCGTTTCTTCAATTCAACTGATCTCTTAGGTCGGCTCCTAGCCCATTATCGTGTTGACTCAACTGCTCTTGGCTTCCTGTCATGGTAAAGCCTTTCGATTTCTCGCAACTAGGGCTCTCCTCGATGTTCTCTCGGACTCGCTTTGCTCAGAAGGCACGCGACTCTTTGTTTCGATCCCCACGGACGGCGCCAGTGATGGTTTTTGGGTTTTCGGGCCCAAGGAGGTCCAACACAACCTTTCAGCTGGAGGATACACCTTTCACAAAAAGTCTGAATTTCAATGAAATGCGATGCCAATAATACTTTGTATTCCCTTTCCGGGTTCTCTCGAATCTCCCTCTTACAAGGGTGGAGGAGCCCTTTTATAGTGGCTCCTCCCTCACTGACTTAAAGTCCCATAATGGCCGACTTCAAGGCTGCTTTCAAGGTGCCGAGCCGTTGAGTGACGTTACGGGGTCTACCAACGGCTCTTTCTAGCTTGTAACCGGCGGACTGAGTCCGGCCTTTAATGCCTCAACGGCTCCTCGTCTTAACTTCTTCGGAGGCTCCCTCAACGGCTCTCTGCACTGAGTCTTTCCCTGGGTTAGGCCCGGACCGACTCCTCGTCTCCGGCCCATGCTTAGGTTGGGTTGTCCTTCATAGCCCTGGCCTGGGCCTTCCATTTGGGCCTGGGCCGACTCCTGGACTCGGCCCACGCACTCTCCAGGCCCGCCTTGTGTCAGCCCATCCTTCTCTCTGGTCTTTCCTCTTTGGGCCTTCTTTTCTTGGGCCGGGGTTCTCACCCCATCATATATAATTAAATTATTCTACCCAATTATATCCTAATAACTCTATATGATGTATGATATATATGTATATAATAATACATTCTTTCAATAATACATAAATATATAGGGTTGGGGTTCAACCTTTTGGAAAGAATAATACATAAATATATAAATATTGTATTATCATATTATACCTAAGTAATTAATACTAATACTTCTAATAATAATAATAATAACAGAAAGATTATTTAAATGTATATATCATTTAAATATTAAAACAATATTATTACATAGAATACATGTCCTACACTATTCTATCATAACATTTTTTTTTGTAGGAAAAAAAAATTATTTTTTGTGTCTTCATGCATGATATATGTGCTCTTGAAATTGGTTGTTTCACACTGTTTGCCATGGTCCTCTCATTTGTTGTGTGATGTATTCTTGTATATGTACTCCGAAACCTGCAAAATAGAAATCCAAAGCCAAAAGGAAGCATTGTTTGTTACTTAATTCTAATGGGTAATAAGGAATTAGGAATAACTTAGAGAGATCCACCTTGAAATATAGATTAGGATAATAAAATTCTATCAGCTTTTGGAGTCCTCTCATTTGCTATGTGTGATGTGTTCTTGTATATGTACTTCTAGACCTGCAAAATATTATGAAATAACATAGAAAGCATGGTTGCTACCTTATTCTAAATAGTAATAAGGATTTAGGAATAACTTAGATAGATCCATATTGAAATTAAAAAAAAAAATTAAAAAAAATGTCTATCAGATTCGAAGTAGGAATGACATCTCATCCCCCATTGAAATGCCTTAGACAAAAAATGTCTATCTGTTCATTGTTCAGCACAAAAAAAAAAAAAAAAAAAAAAAAAAAAAACAAAAAAAACAAAACAAAACCACCATCATTCAATTGTTTAAAATTCAAAATCAGACACACAAAGATCCCATCCTAATGTTCACAATTCCATCAGTTTCTCAGTTTTCATAGAATAGAGCTGTTAACATGGTCTCGTATAAACCGATTGATGTAGCTTGATTTGAATTGAGATTTGTAAAAGAACTTATCTACTGGTCATGGAAGACAACTTCCTTGGATTTGATTATGGAAGACGATTTTCTCTCGGGGATTTCATACGCTCTCATAACTCGCAAGCGAAGAGCGCTTCTCGATTTCATACGCTATCACAACTTCTTTAATAGTGTTTGTATTGCAGAGGATGTGAAATATATATATATATATATATATATATATATATATATATATATATATATATATATATATATATATATATATATATATATATATATATATATATATATATATATATATATATATATAGATGTTTAGATATTTTAGTAATTGATTTGATTGGCTTAAACTTAGTATTTGGTTTTGATTGGCTGACTTAATCTTAGTAATTGATTTGATTGGATTAAACTTAGTAATTGATTTTGATTGGCTGGCTTAAACTTAGTAATTGATTTTGATTGACTTAAACTTAGTATTGACTGTAACTTAGTATTGGATTGGGCGAAAACTTTTTACAGTATCTCATTTTGTTTTAATATATATATATATATATATATATATATATATATGGTGTGAATCCAGTGAGACCCCTATGATGCATGAGATCATGAGATCTCATCAGAGCCATTAATTCATTGTCAATAGATGGTTAAGATTGAAAGAGAAATGTAAATTAATTAAGAATATATTTAAACCAGGACTATGTGGTCTAATGGTATCCGGGTTGGACTTCCATTTGGAAGATTATGAGTTCAAGCCTCAGTGGAGGCGTTATTGGTTCTTTGTGTTTCAGTAGGTTGAGAAAGTATATGAACAGATACTACAATGTAATAGAGCCAGTAACTTTCAAAAAAAAAAAAACCATAAGGATAAACAAGTAATTGTAGTCATGTGTTTAAATTTGGAATTTACAGAGCTTGCAAATGGATAGTAACTGTAACTTCTTCTTTTTTTTTTTTTGCTAATTTTTTATGGTGGTGTGTGCGAGTAAGATCGATGGCGTGTGCATTTTGTATAGACTTGATTCTATGCAATTTTTTTAAGGTTTTCAAGATTATTAGTTGGTGTGTGCATTAGAAAACGTTGTGGGTTTGTTTTTGAGAAAAAAAGACTTAAACAGTGCAACAAGTTTTTTTTTTTTTTCCATCATGTGGCGTATATTACGATGGTGTGTGCAGTAAGATCTATGGTGTGTGCATTTTATATGGACTTGGTTCTATGCAATTTTTTTTTTTAGGATTTTCAAGATTATTAGTTGGTGTGTGCGTTAGTATACGTTGTGGGTTTGTTTTTGAGAAAAAGACTTAAATAGTGCAACTGGGTTTTTTTTTTTACATGTGGCGTATATTATGTTAGTGTGTGCGTATATGTTTTTTGGCGTGTGCAAATTGAATGGATGGGGGTTTTACTTTTTAAATTTTTTAATTTTAAAATCCGAGATTAATATTTGGTGTGTACGTGAGTTCATGTTTGTGGGATGTTTTTAAAATTGGAAGGGCTTGTTTTTTTTTATTTGTTAACAAGAGGTATATATAACGGTGGTGTGCGCGCGTTAAGTATCTGGCGTGTGCATATTTACTAGTCTGTGGCTCTGAAGGTTTTTTTTTTTTTGCTTCGAACATGATTAGTTGGTGTGTGCATTAATACATGTTGCCGGCTTGTTTTTTAAGGAAAAGAATTAAATAGTGCAACAACTTTAATTCTCCCCCAACATGTGGCATATATTACGGTGGTGTGTGCGTATATGTGCTTTGGCGTGTGCAAATTGAATGGATGAGAGATTTGATTTTTATTTTTATTTTTTGGTATTTAAAAACCCATATAAGTATTTGGTCTGTGCGTGAAGTCATGTTGGTGGGTTGTTTGTCAAGAAAAAGATTTAAAAAGTGGAAGGGCTGGTTTTTTTATTCGTCAACTAGAGTTATATGTAATGGTGGTGTGTGTCGTGTAAGTTACGTGGCGTGTGCATATTTTGGTCCAGGTTTAATAATTGTTACAGAAACTATAATCAAATGTGTATTCGAATTCATGACGTAGTTTTTATTTATAACAGTGAAGATTAAAAAGATACCTAGTGTTGAGTTTTTATTATGTACCGAAGTTGTTTATTAACAATGCTATGT